GTTAGCTTGCTGCCATTTGTAGCCATAGAGAAGACCTCATTTAATGCGTTAATCTGTTGAACGACGATATGCCAATAACATACCAGTTTCAACCTCCTATGGTGCTTGAACTCAAGCAGAGGTTGGTGCTAGTGATGCTGATGCCTGTAAATCCAACCCCCCATTCCCTTCTTATTTTTTCAGAAAGACTAATTTAGACAGCCATTTTTAAGCTTCTTTCACACTTTAATCAAATAAGGCACCGACTCACCGAAAACTTCACCACGACTGGCATACTCCATCACCATGTAAATGTTAGTATCCGTCTCCATAATGTGATAAAGTCGAACAATATTTGGATGTCTATAGCATCTCTTCATAGCCTCCAATTCGCGCGCTATTTTTGCCAAATTTTGACCACCTACTAGCTCCTTGTTGATGATCTTCACTGCAACTGGAACATTCAGTTGGGTATGTGTGGCCAACTTGACAACTGCAAAGTTGCCTCGCCCCAGGAGACGTCCCATTTTGTATGGACCGATAGTAGTACTCGCGGTAATGGGGTTGATGAGACGGTTGGGTAGATGAAAGGCATCAACAGAACGAGTTGGAAGGAGTCGAGGAAAGTAGGTAGACAACACAGCAGGGGAATGGAAGATGCTTGGAAGATCTACAAGGAATCAAGGCGAAATCCTGCTCCCTCTTTAACACATTTAGACATCGAGTGAAGAAGCGCATCTAGACTATCCCTTCCACCCATAATCTTTACACTCGCCATCCATCCAGGGAGCAATAAGACGATAAATAGATGGGTTCCGTTGGAAGATTGAAGGCCTTAGTTTAGAGACGATAAATGGGTTGGAAGCCATAGTGGCAGATTGTGGCAAAAGCATAGATTAAAACGCAAAATCATGAGTGATGCTTGAAGCAAAGAATCAAATGTCGACTAACGCAAGACTAAATGACAGAAAATAATGGAGGAGGACAGAAGGGAGAAAGGTGATAGGCACATCTAACTTACTCATATACCATTCTGGAACCTCCAATACAGCCGGTCGTTTACCGTGAAGCCAACAGACCACGCATCCATGCACCTACCTCCGCTACTAAGTTATTAGCCAGAAACAGCCTCAATGGTCACCCAGTTAATAATAGTATAAGCATTTTCGGGCAGATATTGAAGCATCGACTTACATTTCTTCACTCCTCGAAGTTGAGGATTGAATGCTGCGGAGGACTGGGAATGAACAGGACAAAACAAACCTAAAAGGCATTGTAAAGAGGGGACTCAAAGGTTTTGCAGTACATCTTCCAAAGCTCGACGGATTTATCATTCACTACAAACCTTCCTTTAGTCCGTTTAAACCTTCTAATCAGAAGATTAAGATCTTAGCCACTGGGTGGCATGCCAGTTACTCTCATCTTAAACCAAGCCACGTACTTAGCTGATTCAGAAACGTTCCTCAATGATGAATGGTCATTTGAATGGGTCCTCTAGGCCACCAAATGGCTTGCCAGTGAAGTGTTCCTAAATCTACATTCCACAACCTACCGGTTTAGTTAAAAAGAGGGAAAAGTCAGGCACAACTAAAACATGCGATCATGGTGGTTTGGTTTCAATGATGGGGAGATCCGTCCTTCCCGTTTCTTGCACAACGGCAGGTCTATGTTCTCCAAGCCTCATGCTTCCAGACGTCACTTCGGCAGTAGTTCTATTACTACTATTGATAACTCATGAACCTCTTCATCTGATGAGTGGCAAGCAAAAACACATTCACAAGTTTTCTTCGATTCTATGCCTTGTTTTCTAATAGTAGCCTAAAACAATCTAAGGTAATTAGTTGAAAGTGACATTATAATCTAACTGCCGAGTTGGAAGCGACGACTCTATGAGGCGTGCATGTCGAAATAGTAGAAGCTTCAAAGAGGTACCCTCACCGTTGGACTGGATGGTCATTGCAAATAGTTGTGACCTCTTAAGGGTCCACCTCACCATCAGGATAGGCCTTCAGCCGTTAAGTTCAAGTTAAAGCAAGTATGAAGGTTTTCTTTTCAAATAACCTTCTGTGTGTTTGAATAGGGGCGCTGTCAACGAGTTGTGAGCTGATTTTATAGGATTTTGTGGGCTACCCATAACCACTTTCTTGCCATACAGCCTTCAGTATTTTGCAGGCATCGTTCTTTAAAAATCTAGTTGGTCCCATTTCGGCAATCACAGACAAGTTCCAATTTAAAAAAATGCTTTTATTTCAAAACCCAACTTCATTCATTCGTGTTGCACATTTGGATCTTAAAAATCATTTAAACAATAGCTTTGAAACCGACATTGAAGAACATCGCAAGATGGGGAGTGAACAATGACATTCAAAATTGAGAGGAATAGTCGTAGGTTATCGCAACGCTAAACGCGAAAGACCAACAAACACTAAAATTAGGGAGCTGCGAATTCGTCACCCTGAATCCTTACAAAATGCGTGGTGATCACACAATTCCCTAGTCGAAGTTTCTTGAATAGAGCCATATGCAACAGTAACTTTCGGAACCGCTCGAAATGGGTTGAGAACAACGCAAACTTACTCCGATCGTATTTCCAACTTACTGAAATCCGCAAGTAATGCCTGTTTCATGTGTGCGTCGATTGCCAATTGTCCCTTCACAATTTCCTGCCCCGTCGCCCCACTCGTTACAGTATTCAATGGCAGAGGATGTTGCAAATCAATAGACCCAAAACGCCGCTCCCTCGCCTCCGAATCTTCAGTTGAGGATGAGGTAGTCGAACCTCCCCCAGGTTGGGCGACCAGACCATGCCTTAATCCGAGTTTACCAGTTTTATAAGCAGAGGCGGATGAAGAAGAAGAGGAGAAAATGGTTGTGCTAGTGACAGACGTCGTCGTTGAACTGCTAGAATCGATTGCCTGCGGCCGATGACTAACTGAGGTGCAAGTAGAAAGGTTGGATTCGAATCCTATTGTCTCCTCAGTGTCACGACTCGATGGATTATTGTTAGAGGAGGTAGGACTCTCCTCTTGTTGTTCCTCTTGACGGAGAAGATGACGCCTTGGTGTATCGCTAGGGTACATTGCACTTCAAGATAGTTACAACCCCCTTTCAAAAAAGAAAAGTACAATGAAAATAAGTAGTAAGAAAATCATCTAAAAAGAACACACTAATCATGCATACACTAGTCAGCCAGTGTGCAAATTCTTAAAGTGGTTTAACGATACGCACAGGAACGTCACAACCCGTTACTAAATATTTCTGAGTAGAAGACTTCCCGATTTGTACATTGTGAACCCTGTCTCGAAAAGAAATTACTTTTATGGCAGTAAATTAAACTAAGCTACAGAGACCTTAAGTGCGAGAAGATCTCAAGAACCCGGAATCGACTCACATACATGACCCTAAGCTTGATTGTGACTCCCTAGACTTGTTAATTAAAACATCACGCTAGATCGTAATAGCATTAAAGTGGTTACATTCGCCTACCGAAATAGGGCTTGTGCATGTTGTGGTCAACCTGTGGCAGCAAAATGAGAAAGCTTGTAATGTTTAAAATAAATTTTAACTTTTCCTTTGTCTTTTTTATTGTCGTTCTGTTCTGCAAAAAAACAAAAAGGTGCAAATTGTACTACGCAGTTGCTTTAGTGCTCATCCCGAAATCCACTCAACTGTGGTCTTGACCATAACGCATCATTTGTAAATTATAAGCATGGCACAAAAAGGCTTAAACTGCCATCGCTTTACCCGAATGCTTCCTCGATAGCATAAAAGACGCATCATTTAAAAGGAATGCAATATTTTCCGTAGGTAGCGCCGGCTTTGCATACACACTCCAGTCAACAACCCGCACTGCGAAGTCAATAAAGCTTAAAGTTGGTGCGCCACTTCACCATAAGTTAGGGTGGATTAAACATCCAAATGGCACTTTACTGGTGTAACACTTTGTTTAAATGACTAACTGATGCTTGGCGGTGTAATGCTTTGTTTACATGACCGTATGACGTTTGGCGGTCACCTTAGGATTTGTTTAGGCCTTGTACTCATGAGCTGACCTTAAGGTCATGTTCAGACCTAGTTACTTTGTTCTCCTTGAAATACATGTATCCGGCTTCACTTATTGCCTCCACTCGGTGAGAAGTCTTGGGACACTACAATTGATGCCATGGTGCCTAAAAACCTCCCATTATGTGGAAGGCGTCCCTAAGTTGGGCTAAGTACAAGTACTCAAAGGAGAGTTGAAGGCTTTGGTCCTTGATGTGGCACGGGGGCCAACCCAAGACGAATCCTAAACACGCCAACAGACATCATGTGGTCACAGAAACAATGTATTAGAGATGCTCTAGTGCCTCAAGAAGCCAAAGTCTCGCATCTACTTTACTCTTAATGCAATAGTTTAGCCATGCATAACGCATTCTGTTTCCAACTGAGATGTCTCCGTACGTTTCATTGACACTCAAAATGTCAATAATTGAAACAAGACACAAGACGCATCCTTGATAAGAAGAAATTGTTGTAAATAACAATATTGTAGCAGTATTACTATTTCAGTAATTTGCTCATGCGACCATACATAGGTTGGCCTTTGGGCCAAGGCAAGGTTTAATCCTTTTTCTCTCCTCAGAAAACTAGATATTTTCCTCTATCTGACGGGAAGTGTCGTGGCTCTACACTGGTGGCAGATGAAGGCGAACATGAGTTTTAATCATTTCTATTCTAGTATTCGCCACTTGTAACATGCATGTACGGTGCGGAGGGGGCGCAGGTACTTTGGGCAAGCGGTTCCCTAAATTAAAGTTAGCTCCAACTTGTCCCCTTGTCGCACACAAAGACTATAATTGATTAGTGACAAAGCCGTGAAACATTTATAGGTGTTTTTTGTCGGAGTTCTCTCTGATACATCCGCATTCAGGTGTCAAGGGTGACACTATGCCGGAGCTCTTTCCGAGTGGAACTGCATTTGGTCGCACCTTTTCTGTTAAGCCTCTATTTTAGACCAGAGTTTTAGCGTCTATTTTTAGAAGCTGCAGACGCGAAAAACGGTGGATGCGGCCCTGATTCCTGCTGCCAGACCGAACACAACTCCAGATGCAGATGAAGCTGTTGAGATCAGGTGCAATCCGTCTCTCTCATAGCAGCTGATGACTGGCGCGGCTGGCTAGCGAGTATTCCGCTGTACCACCGGGTGTGTTGTAATGACTGTTGTAATGGGAGCGCCAAGGATTCAACTTACAACACAAGATGAGCCCTGTAATACTTTGTTCGCTTAACTACCTGTGTGTCTGGAGGTGACTTTGGTATTCTTCCTGCTCCCCTACATGTGGGCCAGCATTCGAGCCAAGCCAAACCTCAGGTACATCGTCTTCATTTAGAATGCGTTTATTCAATCCAACTTAATGCCTTCTTTTACTTAGAAGGAAGTCTTGAGGCTCCAAAACAGTGGCACCTATCTTTATCTGACATTCATACCAAGCAAAACCTAATCCCTACTAACTTCTGCCAGAACACATGGATTTTAACCCTACTGAATGCTGTAATCTACTAATAGTAACGGTGTGCTGAGAAAAAGATTACAGAATGTACACAGTTGGTAACTTCTATGAGGTCAATACTTTTGCCAATTGGATAGAGAACGCATGAAAGTAGAAGCTCGGCAAATTATAAAGCCACGAAATTTGTACAATTAGTTCGAAGAAGATTATTTTGTTTAGGTCGAATATCGAAATTTTCTGCAAATCAGAAATCTTACTAGACATCTATATGGAATTTGTAGAGGTTGGATTTTCGCTGACGATAATGTGCAAAGAGCTAAATATTGGAACACTAAATTAAATCAGATTTTAAGTCTAATGCTTATAGTTTTTGGACAATTGTTATTCGTATTATCCATGGAAGTCGCAGCATATTACGTTCCATACCAAAGTTAAACGGTTGCAAAAATCGTCTAATTCGACATTAACAACTTACCTGCGATAAATAAAATAGCACATGTACCAATAACCGCAACTAAGGCAAATTAAAAGTTTCCCACTTAAAGCTTCTGCAGCACTTAGGAAATATAACAGAATGATAGCAGAGGCAGTTCCCTATTCACTGTCAGTAATGCAGCGCGTAAGCACTTCGCATAAGTTCATCGAAGGAATTTCCATTTGCTGCCCAATTATTTTCAGACGAAAATTTCGGGAGTAAGGCTCTGGCGCATCCCGAAGGCCAACTTATAAGTAATGCGCTGTTTATGTGATCACATGGCATTTGGCGGGCGTCCGAAAAAATTATTGCCCAGCAGACACCACTATCGTACTGACGTCCGACGTTTGTGTTGCTAAACTTTGCCAATTAAGTGACTGATTTCCGGAAAAGAACAGTACGAACAAGCCGACGAGCAATGGTTCGATCGGATGATAAAATGCTTCGGTACCTACAAATCGCACAGGGTCTTGAGATGTTTGAGTATTTATGAGCTCGATAATCTGTTGAACTTTAAAATCGGGTTCCCTTGGTCGGAAAGTAGAAACCTCTCTTTTCATGACAAGAAGCTTATACTCAAACCAGCAGACGAGACTGTAAAGAAATTCTACATCTTGGTGGAGAAGTCCAGGATTAATGAGCACATTCTGGCGTTGTCCACCGGCAATCATGAGCTATACACGCGTAGGAGGAAGTCTGACTCTATCGAAGTGCAGTAGCTGAAGATAAAGACGAAAAGGGGACGTGAATCGAAGGAGGCGCATTTACCTTGGTAGCGAGCGAATCCCCGAATCCTTCATAACGAAAGGGTTGAGACCGACGTTTGCATTTGGTTTCATCTTATTTCCGTTTTCCACAGACAATCTATTAACAGCTGACGTGACACCACCTTGAACCATCTGGATAGGTTTCGTGTCGGGATTTCCTACACGAAATCCGTGTTTAGGTGTCGGAAATGACACTACGGTTTTCCTTACATATGGGACAGTGGATAATCCCGTTTTCCTTGCAGTATATATGTTTTGGACCAGAGTTCCACCGTCTAATCCTGGAAGCAATTGATGGTCAACAGATGTATGCAGCCTCGAATCTGGTTGTCAGACCGAACGTAACTCCAGATCCAGTTGAAGCTGCCTAGAAGACCAGGTACGGTCCCTCAGTCTGATGTTGTCTGTCGAGTGGGGCGGTTAGCTCGTGGGTGCTTTCTTGTAGTACCGAATATATTGTGATAGCTGGCGCGGGAGATGTACCAAGGGGAGCACCGAGGACATTGCTCAAAATAAGAGAGGCAGTGTGAAGCTTTGTTTATGTGGCCACATGACGTTTGGCGGTCACTTTAGGATTTGTCTTGCCCTTGTACAAGTTGGCTGGTCTTCGGACGATGCCCAGGCCGATTTGTCCTATTGCTTTCAGAATACGTGTGTGCATATGCATATACTGACCTCTTATATCGGCCAAAAGATCATTAAATGCTACATTTAAAGGTTTACGGGCAGTTTTTAAGCCGTATTAAAAATTCCTTTTTGGTTATTTGTGATGGCTATTCAAGCCTATTTAAAATTAATTAATTCTTGTTGCGTAAAAAAGTTTTTTGCTTAAAAAACAATTTTTATAATAAAAAAAAACATTTTATTGTTCTTGAACTTTTGCTTTTGCAACAATACCTTAATTTTTATCATTTGTTTTAATTTGTAGAAGAACTGTGCTTCCTGCCAATTTCGAACATTCTTCACTTCGAAAGCGTTTTCGCGCACGGCTTCACGATAAGGAATGTCGGTTCCTACCATGTCTCAACGCGTAGAGGCTGAAAGGCAGGACCGGAAACTTGCTGATGTAGGTGGACACCTCTTCTCTAAACTCTTTTATAGATCAAGGAGCTCAATTTGGAAGGGTGTTCTGCCACCGAGGTCGAGGGCTTGACTGATGAGTACACGTGCCTGGAGAAACTCAACATGTCCAATATTGGGCTAACAACTCTTGCTGGACTTCCAGCTCTACCGGCCTTAATGCATGTAATAATCCATCCTTTATTCTACCCTGGACTTTAGCTTGATGTTTCAGGCAATCCAATTGCTACCGGTCTTGATTCCCTGAAAAACTGCCCCAGCTTGGTTTCTCTTAATCTCTCTGGGAATAAGTTGGGAGCGATAGCCGATCTGGCTCCTCTCGCGTCGTTGGAAAGTCTCTCTCGTCTTGAAATGGGCGACTGCGATTTGGTGAGTGTTGAGGGTTATCGGAAGGAGGTTTTCGCTCTTTTACCACACTTGAAATTCCTCGATGGCCTGGATCAAAATGGCGTTGAGGAGGTTAACATGAAAGTCACTGGTGACGTTGTCAATGGACCCAAAAATGGGCACGTGATGAGTGCTAATGATGAAGATGTTGATGATGACGAGGGTGATGAGGAGCAGGATGAAGATGAGGATGAGGAGGATGAGGAAGAAGAGATGGGCATTTCTGCCCTTCAAGGCAGCAAAGACCTTGAAGATGATGAAGAAGATTACGTTCCTGGTGAGTCTCCACTTTTGAAGCTCTAATTGCTTCCTTGTGAACGATCGATTTTCATTTTTCAAGGTGATGGAGAGGATGACGCGGAAGATGATGACGAGGAGGAGGAAGGGGACGAGGATGAAGAGGGTGAAGAGGAGGAAAACATAGAAGATGAAATCGCAAACCTGTCCGGTTCTGGCGTCACGGATTCGCGACGCGCTCACAAGCGACCTGCTGATGACTCTGACGCCGTTGGTGTTAGCGAGGCGAAGGTGGCGGCTACAGAAGACAACTAAACACGAGTCGCGTGGTTCTGAATTTTTGTATTGCACAAACGATTTCGAATAGTCCTCGAGATATGTAGCACGTTTATATTTACTCATGGGCATGTTTGTACAGTTTGTCCCCGACTGCTATGCCCCGCTTTCCCCCCTTCAACCTCTATAAAGAGACATTAACTGTCGCATTCTCAACTCACCGCACTGCATGTACCTGTTACCGATTTCTATAATTATTTGTATTGCAGAGCATTTATGAGGTGGTCTGTTGGCGCTATCCCTCCTAAAGCGCATCTCGTCCCTATTGTGGGAGTGTCGGGGGCGTGCATCATGTTGTCTTTACAGTCTAAAAATCATTGCTGTTTACTTATGTGGTTTTTTATGGCTATTATTGGTGGCGTGATCGTACGGGTTCGCGAACTGAGGTGGTTGGGTCGATGCGATTATTCGGCCCGCTTTGGTTTCACTGGATTTCCGTGATTGGGGTCGAGGCCGCTAGTGCGAGTCGACGTCTTGTTGGTGTTGTTGGCGGTAGTCGGCCTCAGTGCTCGGTGGGTACGTCTCATCCACTACGTCTTACGCTTTGCTTCTGTCCCTTTTGTCACTGGTACTTGGTGTTCACGTTTGGGATCGTGTCCGCTGAACGGCAAATTTCTCGCGCGGGAAGCTCGGAACATTGGTGTTTCAAGTGCGCCAGTTTTACTATGCCATCTTAGCAATTTCACAATGCTAGACGTGTGGCGAGGTAACCAGCAGACCGCGCCTTTGTGGTGTTCACTGCAGTTAGCCCGCATCTCCATTCCTTTCAGGTCAACCAGGTAATCTTCTCTCATTTGGCCAGGATACTGGCTACAATTCCAGTTCAAACAAGTCGTATTATCTATTTTAACTAAAGCTACAGACCGTTCTCTTCGGAGAAGATGACTGGCAGGCCGTCCAACAACCAGCAACTCGTCACACCTTCACCGCAAATTAGCCTCCACCCATAGTTTGGGTTGATCACTTAGTTAAGGAGGCACTGAAGATAGAAGTGCTGCAATAAGTCATCACAAAAGGGAAAAGTGGCTTAAACAATCAGCGCCGGGATCACAACGAAGCAATCACACAGCTATGATTGGCTATTGAGACACCCCTTAGATTGGATACAATGTAAGTACCTTCCTGCAGTGCATTGCGTGGTCGGTGCAGTCCTTTGGGCGTAACTAACATCGTCTCTTGCCTAATTTCTAACTATAATCGGTATTATTCAGTACCAAATTAGTGTAAAGCACTAATAATGTTCGATTAATGCGGGTCAACGGAACTCGTTTATTGATAAGCGTTTGGAGCGTGAATCAGAGTTGGAAACACCGATAGACGACAGAAAACCCGAGTTGAAGGCGAAAATTAAATTAATTCGCCATACCTGAAGTGCACCATACCAATGTGATCAATTCATGTTCGGACGTTGAAGGATGCGATAGATTTAAATTGGCCTAGCCACTTACTGTTTTCGGGGCATAGACATGGCCTATATCGCTGTTGACTGCATTTTAGGGTGGATCTGTCTGCATGCTGTCGCGATGACTCCATGGTTAACGGTTGGAATGGCAAGGTCTAATTGTCTGACAACCATTGTGCATCTTATTGTTAAGCTCCTTTCGTTTCTGATAAGAGTCAGGCATGTTTTAGCGTTTATTTTTTTTCATCACAAAGGCCATTTTCCACCACTAGAGACTTCATCTGAATCGCCCAACCTGAAGTCTCCACTCATCACGTGAGCAGGTAACATGGTGGTTAAGTGAACGGAAACGTTTTTCGTGGGCCCATACACCGAGATAGCCGCCCTCAGAGAATTTGTAATTCCAAGCGGAGACTTGCCCAATGGTGAATTTCTTTGCCACAACCACTAAGCCAATCTGCGCCCAGAAATTAAGTGCGCCACCTTTGATTTCATTGGTTATATACTAGGGCTGAGATACTTCCGCAGGCAACCATGCGGCAGGGCGCGTTTCACAAGTGCAAGTTGTAGCCCTCATGTAACTATGCTTAATTGTAAATATTATTCTTCTCAAATTGATTAAAAAATGGCCTATCAGTCGAGTGGCTATACCTGTTATTGAAGTCGTTACCTTGTCTTCCAAATCAAATGTGTGGCTTGGGAATTAAGTTTTGATTTTAAAAGTAAGGAAAAAAGCGTTCAAGCTAAAATGAGTGGGAAATCCGTCTTCCCCCTTTCCCCACACCAGTCAATAATTTTTGATGCCCTAGCTCTGCAGGTGTCCCAGGGATTAGTCATGCCTCTAGCAGGGGAAGTCATGACACTGGAATGACTCACAGACGGTGCGTCATAAATTTGGCAACCAGTCCCTTCACTTTACAGTTAAAAATCGGACTTCTAGCCTAATTTTGGAATCGTTTTAAGCTATTGTTGGTAGACAACTTCGACCAGATTGGCGTCAAGTGAGAGCTCCTTGCAAACGAAGATCAAGCCTCTAGCAGTGGTAGGGACGAGTCGAAGTTGTTGAAGCAAGTCAGATACCGGTGTCACACAACCTGCTTTAGACCCCTCATCCAAGCTCAGAGTCGCACATGTCCCCAAGACGCCAATGATTGGATGAACTAAGGACACTGAAATAGACTCTGTCAGGAGAATGCGTTAATCGTAGACGCGGCCAAAAAGACCGAGTAAGGCTACCAGATGTATTGGGTCAAAAACCCTAACAAATGGGAGACAAATCGCTCACAAAGGGTAAAGTAGCAAAATTCTTCAATTTCTTTGAAGCATAAACAACACAGGATACGTTCCATTTGTTACTTTTAACGAGTACAAATGATGAGTAAGAGCAGGAACTAGGATTTGCGTTCTAAAAGATGTGCACGGAGAAAGGATGCAAGGAAGACATTAAACAGTGATAGGGAATCCACCGCTAGTAGCAACGTGTTTCTGGTGAAAATCGTCCTTTAAATCAGCAAAGAGGCTGGCGATTGAGATACCGTAGACTTTGGCAACGTGCATCTGAGCCTTAGCACCTTCACGAAGTGCAAACAAATGGATTCGATCCTGTGGTGTGCGAGCTTCATCCAAGGCGCGTTGAAAGTACTCCTTGGCTTTCTCCAATTCCCCTCTTTCCATTTCCACTTGGCCACGCATTTCCCATGCCAACTCGCATCGCGGATCCATCTCGATTCCTCGTTTAAACCACTCATCTGCCGCATTTTGGTCATGCTTCCAACGCAATTGCAAAAGACCTCGGTGACAGTAACCCAAACCCGAATTCGGAGAAAGTTCAATGATACGGGCAAATTCTTCATCACTCTTTTGAAACTCCTGTCTATCCATCAGAACCTATAAATGAATTGAGTTTGCTACTTAAATCTATTTCAGTAGCAGCTGGAAACGTGACACATGATATAGTCACCTGAGCATAAAGGGAGTGGACCTCCACACAGTCGGGCGATTTTTCGACCAACTTTTGAAACTCCCTGAAGTATTCATCCATTCGTTGACCTCTTCCTTCACGTGCGCTCTTGCGATAAGACTGATACAAGAAATGCGCCTAAAAGACAAGGGAAATGGTAAATATGAATCAAAAGGGATACCCACTTGGGCGACAGGGAAATCGGGTCTCAAGCGAACAGCCTCGCAGAGGTCTTTTTCCGCCGCTTCGAAGTTTTCTGCAAGGAAGTTAAGTTGCCCACGTTGAAGGTAGACATCTGGACACGTAGGAATAAGAGTTTGAGCCTGCTGGAAGCAGTACATACACCCAGATGTGTCCTACAGTATACGTGAAAGGCATTAGGCATAATTGCCGTGGGCGGGATGAAAAGATCGAACTTCTACTAACCACCTTATCAGAGACCATATAAAGTGCACCGGCTTTGATTAGTGCATTCACTCGAATTGTGGGATGGGCAAAGAGTGTTTCACCGATAGAGAGAAATTTCGATTTTGCCTCCTCTGCATCACCTGCAAGAGACTTAAAAGTGGCATCCAGAAGGAGGGCTCTCGCGCGTGCCGACTCGGGTTTTTCCCGATCGCCAAAACATGATTTCTCGAACGCATGTAGATCCACCGTCGTAGCCTAGAAATGAAGATAAAGCTTTAAGTATTGTGGAAAATAGACCTCAACGAGGAGACGGTTGTAAATCCACATTCATCCGAGTAAACGTATGTAGTGTGCTGAATTAAGGAGCAAATTGATTGGGGAAGATGAGTGAGGAATATCTAAACAAACACGCTAGTAGGTTGTCTCTCTTCGAACACCAGTTTCAATACGATCGCCAAGATGGAGAAGCGATCGAGAACAGCATAAACAACGACGAATCATTGTAGGCTAACCTGCGGAGTTTTGCAATGCCGCAAAACTGGTCCAAAGCCACGCTCAAATCTTGCAGCTATACGAAAATACCTAACATAGTTCAGGGAATAATGTAGGAAGGAATGGAAGTTTGCCAAGACTTGGATGTTTTGAAAAAAAATTAACCGTAATCAGGACTAACAAGCTTTAAGGAGCGATTTAAGAGGCAATTGTACATAGTCAAGGCTGCCGTGTTAGTAGAATACGAGCTTTGGCTTGTGGAGAACGATTGCCTACCGAATTAAATTCTTTCACAGCAGTCGACGCTAACTTCCACGACTCCTCATAGTCATATATCTGTAGTTTACGGAACGCCTCTTCCAAGTGAGTATAGGCTGAGGCTAATTTTTGGGGCAATTTGAAAACTTCTTCGGTTTTCTCCTCCTCCTCCTCCTCCTCCTCCTCCTTCTCCTCACTCGCTACACCTTCAGTGAGCCCATTTGTTGCTTTGTCCGCGCTGGCCGGGGACTTTCTTTCAATTTTCATTGCTTCCAAAGTAAAGGGATTACTAGCCCAAGAACTAGAATGCAAAAGAGCTCGGTCAACGAAAATAAGCCGAAATCGCAAAAAAATGGCCTTAGACAACTACTCATTTACCTGAAATAGAATTTAATGAAGTCGGAAGAAGGAAGAGTTCGTGGCAGATTTGGAGGCTCCTCTCTAGCTAACTTTTGGCCAAGCGCCTTGAGAACGCGATCCAAACAAATAATAGTGTCCTACAAACAAAAATTAGGCTGTGACGTGATAGTTCGACCAGCGTATCGTTCCCTTAAATTCCACAGTACTAATTTCTACTTTTAAGATCCGGTTTCCGACGCTCACAAGACCAAGAGTGCCACGATATAAAAGATGGGAACGCGTGCAAAAGAGCGATGAAACATGATAACTTGCAAATAGACAGAAGCTAAAAAACGAACATACAACTATCAATAGAGTAAGTAAAGTAAAGTAAAGTAGTTTCCCTTTTGAAGGTGGGGAACAGCTAACAAGACAGCTATTAGCTGTTACGTATGCAAAATAAGAGAATAAAGATGCTCCCAGTTTCCGTGTGGGTAAAGGGAGAAATCATTTCGCATCGTCGTGTTCCACAAAAGGGATGTTTTAGCGACAAAGACTGGCGATTGATCGCAAAAAAACACAAAATCGCCAAACAAACTCAGCCCGCATATGTTTAAAGGGTTATTGCACAATCACCGCCAATAATACGCATCTGTGTGCAGAGTTACCGTCAAGAATAAATAATGAACAGTAGTAGCAGCACTCTTAAAAAATGGAACATTTTTAATGCGTACAAACTCTTAATAGCCTCTAGGCAATTAAGTATCCCGATTAGTAAACTCGAGTTATCGTTTCCCCTACCAAATATCAGCTGTCTGAAATAGACATCTGTTGGCGCCCAAAGCTTTCTCAATTACGTTACATCGACTTCAAAAGTCCTTTCTTAGTTTCCTTACAACAAACAATACGCACATTCGAGCTGCCCTTCTCTCTAGTGCAATACTCCAATCCGCACTTCTCACCAAATGCACAGAACAATTGAGCCCACCCTCTACCCCCTTCGTTCGCTCGAAATCTGGTTTTGGATACCAGGTGCTGTAATATACTTCGCCCTTTTCACCGCTTTAACGCTCCTAGAGTCATGGAATGGAAGTGTCCCTTAACCTCAGCCACACAGACACATGCTCCAGACGCAATCATCGATCGAACCGTTTGGCTTTTTAAGGTCCCAACTCATATGGCATGTTTGAGTGCTTTGCTAGTAAGAACTATGTGAGGATAAATAAAAGGGAGCGCGTGAGTGCTCAACCGACGGCAACGGCACACTATTCAGAAATCCTTCCTAAGGAGTTCATTTACCCCTGCCATCTTAGAAATGCCATAATGATCGGTTACCACTTACATTGTTCTGAAAGCGTTCCAACATACAGCAAGCAGTGATGTCGAAGAGCCATCGAGTTAAATCATTGAGTCGTTCATAGAGACGGGCACGTCGATTCAGCGCCTTCAGGTAGGTAGGTACAAGTTCCAACGCTGAGTTGCAATCTTCAACCGCCGCCTCCAGCTGGCGCAAATTCTCGCGGGCAGCAGCGCGGTTCTGGAAAAAAGTCGCTCGTTCCTCCACCGCTGTGGGCGGGCACTGCTCCAATGCTTCCGTGTAGCATTCAATTGCTTTCGCATAGCGTCCCGCCTTAAAGTTGCGATTGCCGCGATTCTTCAAAGCGATCGCAGCTTCCAACGGTGTCTCCGCAGGACTTGATGACATCCCATCCTCTTTGCTATGAAGCCCTACGATGGTAAAAAAGTTAGACTTTGATAGTGACGACAGGAACACAATGCGTTTCAACATTTTTGACCATCCGAACACATTGAAATGCAACCATGATCAAAGGTACGGCCCACTCCCTCACATTTTCAATTCGAACGAAAAAAATCCGCATTTGTGCATACAAACCGTTGTTTCGTGCCATCGTAGTTACCGGGAAAAAAATGTCCAACCAATGGATAGATGAAAAGAGAAATATTTGATAATTGCATAGTTGTACGCCGCGAAAAATAAAGTACAGGACATATTTCTACAAATAAGTTTACAAACAGACACCACGTGAATAGGAAGAAATCTAGTGAATCCTGAAGTAGCTGCCGGCCGGATAATGACAGACCAACGCAACTAAGTATCGGAGTAATCAAGAAGTGTTAGGTGGCTAAACGAGTTGCTCACGTGACAAGAGATACGACCACAATGCCATGGCGCCCGGAAGGGGAACGGTTCAGTTCACTAGGGGTACACCTTCAAGTTAATTACGTTCTGCTTTACAACGCTTCAAAAAAGATCATACATTCTGTAATGCCCACTACAATTAGATATTGCATTTAATCAGCGAAAATGAAAAACACTTAACGAAATGTACCGTAGTTATGCACAGAAATGAGGCAGATATTGTGGGAAGGCAGAAGACGGATTCGGCAACATTTCAGCTGAACAAATTGTGGGAAAACTTACCTTTGCGCGACGAAGTGTAAACATAGTAGCAGTATAGACCAGCAGCCGAAGCTATCAGAACAGGTGTTCCAAACAACAAAAGTTTTTTCCAAGTTCCTCCTCGGAGAGCTATAAGTTAGTAAAATAAAAGTACGATTCAACGCACCCATACTATACAGGAAACAAGACAGCCAAGCAAACCAATTCGATGAAAGGGAATTAATGCATGAGACTACCCGAAGAAGGCGGATCTAAAGCAATCTCTTAAAACAAGACAATTTCTTTTCAACGAACCAATGGTACTTTTGTGGCAACATTCTCAATATTGTATCAATTTTAAAAACACTCAAAATCAAGTTTAAAAATCGAAGACACTGTTTTAAAAAGTGCATTGCAATCCACTTGTCTGAAAAAATCACGAGCAGTTAACGAACCAGTATTAAATCGGTTTAGCACCGCAAAAAGTGTATGCTAATTGTATTGCAGTGTATACATGTATTCTGCCGAAGAATGAGAATGTATTGGGCTTTAGCTTGGTTCAAAGCCCAGCCCACCTGCAGAAGAGCACGTCAGTGGTGGGAACAATTGTTGGTCAAAAGATACATGCGTCTTCGATTCTGGCTGTCACACCGGACGCAACTCCAGGTCAAATTGAAGCTGGTGAGGAGACCAAGTCTCAGTCTCATGTTAGTAGTTGTCTTGCACAGCTGTCTCATAGGTGTTTACGTGCAGCAGCGAATACGTTGCAATGGTTGGTGTGGGAGTTGTACAAAGAGGAACGTCGAGTACGTCACCCAACAAAACAGAAGGGTAGTAGAATATTTGTTTATGTGACCACCTGATGTCCGACGGTTACATTAAGATTATAGTGTCCCGAGACTTCTCACAGAGTAAAAGAAGGCACCAAGGGAAACTGAATACATGTATTCTAAAGAGATGAAGGGAACTAGGGGTGTGCTAGGCCCAAAGGCTAGCACTCGCGCACAAAGAACAGACAAATACTTCCATGAGTGAATAGTTTAACTCTAGTCCAAAACAGGCGTGTTACAGGTAAAACGGATCAGATTCAGTCCCGTATATAAGGAGATCTGTAGTGTCACATCTGACACCTGTACACGGCTCTAGAAAAGGAGATTCTGACGTGAAACTTCTCCTGATGGTTCTTGGTGGTTTTACTCCAGTTGTTGATAGGTTATGTGAAACGTTAGGACAAGAAAAGCCAAACGCGTTCGTCATTCTCAGTGCTTTCGCTGCAAAAAATTTGGAAGATTATTTCCGCTCTGATGCGATTGCGACTCCTTAAAACCGTTGATACATGCAACAACTGATATTTATTGTAGGAATTGGCTGCCTGCTATCGAACCTCAGAATAGAGTTAATGACGAGGCTTTATTGAGCACAATATACAAGAAGAATGGCACCGTTAGGCTGACGCTTTAGTTTCATCACAAGTTGACTTCGCATTCGAATTCCATTCACTTACAGTCACTTTAGGACTCGTCTGACCATTGTACTTGTGAGCTGGACTTAGGGCCATGCTCAGGTCCATCTGCTCTGTCCTCTTCGGAATACATGTATCCAAATTCATTTACTGTCTTCTTCCGCCCTATGGGAAGTCTCGGGACGCTACAACTCTCACCTGTAAAGACCAATATGAGCACATTAAATGTATAACAAGGACGGTTAATGAGCTTAACCATACACCACCCCATGTAACAATGACAGAGATCAACAACATCAAGATGCTACAACAAGGACAGTATAACTTTAACCTCGCAACAAAACTTCTACTGCCTCCTTCACGTTCGCAATAATCTTTATGATTTTATAGGCAGGTGATATTGTGTTTAAGTTGACCTTTATAAGAAAGAGAGTAGAAAACAATTTGAACACGAATCCAATCCATGAGAAATGTGAAGGTTCCTTTCAGGAGTAACATAATCTTTTCACTATAAGAGCCGCCTGTCTACCTTATGAAATTTGGTTGCGGATGGCTTACTGGGTATTTGTTGTTAGGACGAATTGAGAATGGGATGCGAATGAGGCGAGTAGGAGATATCAATTAAAGGGAGATTCCTCGCCGACCTCACGCACGTGGTTCGCGTTCCCAATTAGTTTTCGCCTCTCACTTATAAGTCCGCTTAAACAAATTAGTATATATTTCATTCACCTCATCAATCATCCTCCACTGTTTCCTCTTCCTATTCGATCCCAAATAACGCTTTCTCAATAACCCCCCACCGATGTCCGATGTTCAGGTGCCAGAGGGTAGTCTGGCAGGCTCCATTGATACCTTCATCGTATTGAAAAATTTATCAAACATTTATAGTAAATTTTATACCAAGTGGTTTAGGGGTAGTTCTTGGAATGAAACAATGTCTGCTTATTTACTATCATTATTCCATATGTTCATTTTTATAATGAGCCAGCTCAAGAAGCGCGCTTGACGGTTCCGAACCATTTTAGGTAGAATTTTCATGATATTAGCTGACATATTCGCCCTAGTACACATTTCTTGTTCTTCATTTAGTTTTTTTTCAGTATGTCTGTTGTTGAAGCTGTTCTGCAAACGCTTTCTGCGTTGAAGTTTGAAAGTACATCGGCCGAACAATCAGATCCTCGTCCCACCACTTTTGATAATGAAACCTTAGAAACAGCCGTATGTTAAACTTCAAGTTCATTGAAATAGGAGAAGCTGCGTGTTTTTCAGTCATTACCGACAATCGCAAAAAATTTAGGAGTTGAAGAATGTCAGAAAACACTAGTACCAATGTTGAGTGGTAAGAGAGCTTCAATTCCCTTAGGCTTGAAATCCATCTCCTACTAGACCTTGTACAAAAGGCTATTGGTGCTGGGGATGATGAAGTTCTCATGGTGATCGCTCAAAAACTGGCGGACCTAGCAGATGTGTTGGGTAGAGAAGGCGAGGGTGCGAGCTCCCTTGTTGTAAGCTGTCCTTGACCTACATTAAATTTCAGTCTATCATTTCGGATATTTTGGTCTTTGTCGAAGAGATTGTTGTGGTCCAAGCTGCTGCTGACGCATTCTGCACCATTCTGCCTCATCTCTCGTCCGAACAAATTGACAAAAAAGCCCTCCCTCTTATCCGGAAGCTCCACGAAGGTGGTTTTGTGTTTAAACTTTAAATTTTTCCTAAATTGAAGGAGAGTTGGCATAGACTTTTGCCTCAGTAGATTTTGACCCGCCGAAGTGGTTCCGATAATCTTTTTGAAACTTGAATTTCGTTTCCCTTTTTCGCTCAATGTTTACTTTATATACCTACGTGTTTTCCCTCCATCCTATCTATCAGAGGATCTCTTCTGTGCTTCACGTAAAGTCGTGAGCAAAATGATGACCACTTGCTACCCCCTTGTTCCTACAAAAGTGCAATCGGAGCTAAAATGGTGAGTTTTGCGCCTTTATCGTCTTGCTTTTACCAAAAATGCTTTCTGTCTACGTTTTTTATCGATACAATCTATCCTGCCCTTCTCGATTTTTTTTCGCATACCACGATGGTTGCGTTTTCTTCACTTTTTATCTGCAGTCGCCTTATTCACCTTGCGGACAATGAGGACGAAGTGCCGCTTGTTCGTTCGGCTGCTATCTCCCAACTTGTTACGTTGGCGCGTCTCATTGGGAGCGACTTCAAGGCTGAGCTATCACCACTCCTGGCGGGGTAAGTTGTAGATTCATCCTGCTCTGATACCTACGTGAGCACCTTCCTGAGGATTAAGTGGCTTTTATTTCTCAACCTTAAATCGCGTGTGTATGGAATTTGATTTGTCGCTTAAATTATCTTCGTTGTTGAATAGATCTGTTTGTGGGATTATGTTAATATTCGTTCAATTAGTGTGAAATTCGTCATACTCGAAATAGTCTGGAAACGAAGAGAAACGCTGGTTGAGACCAACTTACAGGTGTAATTAAGTGGACTTACGGAGGTGATTGGAAAGAGTTGCACTGCACTTTTTTAATCACAAATCTTTTTCTATTTTAGTCTAGTTGGAGACAGTCAGCGGATCGTTCGGGCCGCATGTGTTGGACCGATCCTGGAGTTGGGCAAAATGCTTAACAATAATGAGGCTGCAGAATACGAGACAATGGTTCAGGCCTCTCTGGACAAACTTAATGAAGATGGCTCAAGGTAGGCACACAAAGTATACGAGTCGAAAACTTCACACACCAGTGCGGCAAGTTCGTCAGTACAGGACTATGCTCGGCCTTCTATTCTCTTTGATTGCTGACGTCTAGTCAACTATTAGGGAGCACCTTGGTTGGATGTTCTTCAACTTTGTGACTTGTGTGTTTATTTTCAGAGACACTCGACGCGCATTGGCCAGCAATATGGCAGAGTTGCAAAAAATTGCCATATCCAAAGGAGGGAACAGTAGGTCCCTTCACACGATGATGATGAATTTGCTGGAGGACAATGAGGTGGAGACGAGACGAATTGCGGCCAGTCAATTCAAAGGTATGTGAATGGTGTTGAGGCAGTAGTGGCATTGATCGTGATGCCTGCCTTCAGATCACTGCTCCTTTGTTCTTCTTACTGGTTGACATACTGAGACCATTGTGGCATCGAATAACAGCTTGGTGAATGAAATCTCTAGGCGGCAGAGCTTTGGTATCCTAGGCTCGGCTCATCCTTACCATTATAAAAACGAAAATTTGGCTCACTTTCCCACATCCAATGAACAGGTTAAATCACGGGTGAGGAGCGTTAATCACTTCGCCAACAAAATTCTTATCATTTATAAATG